CTTTGTTCTTTCATATATGAGAAGGCCTATTGACTTTCAATGTGAATGGAATCTTAGCTGGCTGAAATACCATCTTGGGAAAGTTCATTTCATAGAACTTTTCCCTCAGTGCCCTCACATTCCGGCAGCTAGCCTGACAGCGGAGAAGTCTGAGGCCAGCTTGACTTGTTTTTCACCTTATGTTTTCTTCTTGGGTTCCTAAATTCTTTTTCTTTAAATTTAAATCATTGAAGATAGCTTGGTGCTGAGTATTCCCAAAGGAGAATTTCCTAGAAAATGGCGTGTTCTTTTGACCATTTCTTCTTCATTTCAATAAAATTTCTTTCACCCTGTTTTTATTTGCATTTTCTGACCTATTTGTTGGTTTTTCTACATCAGGAATCTCAATTATCCTCATGCTTCCTGTGCTTTGTCTTCCACACCAGATTCTTTGTAATTAATCTTGGCCCTTCTTCATCTGCATTCACTGGGCTTGAATTATGCCTTTTGTGTATTAAAATGTTCAGGATCTATTTTGTTCATTTTTTTCTTTCTCCTATAATTATGTGTCTATGGTTTTCAATTTATTCCCTTAAATCCACAATATCCTTTTTTATCTTGATTTAAAAATGTTCTCATCATTGAGTTTATTTTATTGAATTCATATTGTGGTCAAGTTGTGGTAAGCTATAAGGCTATTTATTACAGAGAATTTCCTTCTGTCCCAAGAGTAGTATTTCTTTTTAGCAAAACTCCCTGTAAGCTCTGTTCTTTCTTTCCTTTTTTTCTGTTCGTCTTGGATGGCTGTCACCTGTTACTGATACAGTGGCATGAAATCTTGACCTCCTTTTTATAACTGACCCTAATTGCAGTCTGTTCTGCAAAGACTTGGCAGTTTCTCTAGAACAAAGGATTGGTGCTGGGATGGGGGAGCCCAGTCAAAGGAATGCAGTCTGACAGGATACCTGGGCCTGTTAAGTGTCCTGTGCGTGGGGTGCCTGCCTCTGGGGGAGAGCCTTTGGGTGGCTCTGTCACCCTGTGCTGGCTTTCTCCGCCCCCCTCAGCCAGGCTGACTTTGCTCCACTCACTTGCCTCTGACCAGAGTGAAAAGCCCAGTGCTTTTTTTGTCAGAAAAGGAAAAAGTGAAATATGCTGAGACTCAAGTTTTCTTCTCTCCTCTTTCTAAGAAAGCATTTTCAAGATTTCTGTATAATTTCTGCTGTTTGGGCACACTCAAATTTTAAATATATTCCTACAAATCTCAGAATTAAAACAAGACCAGTAAGCATAACCCCCCACATACCAGTTTGCAAACCCTGGCTTGTGGGGAAACTTAACTCATTTTCCTGTTGGCTCCAGAGAAAATGTTCAGTGGCTCTGAATCACTCCCCATCCTACATCTCTTTTTTTCCCTCTATTATTTTCACTTTTCTCTACTTCTAATTGCTCTTACTTCAGCCAACTTGCTCTCCCAACTAACTACTTTTCTTTTATTCTTCCTGAATTGAATTTGATGAGTTCCATTCTCAGGACTGACAAGTCCACAGAGAAAAGTACAGCCAAGCTCTGCTCCAGCTCAAATTATATTTCACAAATTATATAATGCACATCTTACATTTGAACATCTCTGAAACCAGAGTGCCTCCTGCCCTGGCATAGCAGTGTAACTGACAGTGTTTTTTCTTAGTGACATAAAATAAAGGTGCATTTTATACTCAATGACATTGCAGTTTTGATAAAATATGATGACTGATAGTCAAAGGATATATATGCCATTGACTCTTCAATAGTTCAAAGGTTTATGGAATAGAAAAATGAGTCCAATACAGCTCTGTGTATGCATGTGGGAGGGACTGAAGACAGTACCTCTGGGTCTATGGTTTTTCTCTTCGTTGTTTTGTTTTGCTTTTCTTAGACCAGATTACAAGCAGATCTTCTTTAACTTTTAATAAATACATGAGAAACTTTAGAGAAATGCTGGTAAGAAGAAAAGAGCCATGCAGATTTTTGATGGTCGAAAATTGAAAAGCAACTTGTGAACTACAGCACTTAAAAATTCAAGCCATTTCCTTAAACAGGTCAAACCTTATCAACGGTAAGATGCTCACACCTCAATTACTGTAGAGCAGATTTTGGTAACGTCCCCGGCTCCACCCCTTTTCTCCCCGGAGCCTGAACAGCAGGTGGGTGCGGAGGGGCAGGTACTCAGACACCCTGCCAGGATGTGGGGTTGGTGTCAGCCTGTGGCTCTCAGCCCCGGAGTCAATTAGCAGGGCCGGGAGGGGGGGCGGAGGCGGGGTAGTCCAGGAGTCTCGGGGCCGGCCTCCCCACTCCCGGAACTCGTCCAGCTCAGAGCTGACCCTCAAGCACATTTGAGCCATTTGCCAAACAAAAGCAAGGAAATGAAACAAATACTAAAAGAAAAAAGGGGGAGGGATATCTACAGCTTTTCAGTAATGCCCTCGCTAGCCACACAGGCGGGCTGAACCGGCTGACTTGGTGGGGCTCGACGCCAGCGCCCGCTCCCCTGCCGACCCTGGAGGGGCCGCTCCGGTCCTTGCGCTGTCCTCCCTCCAGCTACGCGAAGTATCTGAAAGGACGCAGGCCTCTCCCGCCCGGGAACAAAGGATGGTGAGTTCCAGCGCTCTCGCCGAGCAACACCCCGAACGGCGGACCCGGGCCGCTCGCCCAGTTTCGCCAGGCAGAGCGGATCTTGAGGAATTTAACCTTCGGACTTCACTATGGCTCACGTCCCGCGGCGGCAGAGCCGGGGATCCTCGGCATCCCTGGCGGGGCGCGAGGGGCTGGGCCGCGGGGTGGCCACAGGGCACAGTCAGCTGACGCCCCCAAACGACCCGGGAGGGGGCGCGGCGCGGAGCGCTGGGCAGGCGGCGGGGGAGGAGTGTGGGCCGGGAGCGCGGCCGCCAGGGGCTTTCGGGAGGCGGCGCGCGCCCTCGCGGGTCCTCCCCGGCCCCGTTCCCCCGCCCCGCCTGCCGCCCTTCGGTACCTCGGCAGGCGCGTGTCGCCGCTCCGCTGGGAAGCCAGCCTCGGCCGCAGTCCCTGGAGCCGGCCTTCGCCGCCCGCCCTCCGCTCCCGGGATGGGCGCCGCGACAGGACGCGCGCGGCGGGCCCTGGGGGCGGTGGCGGCCCGCAGACTCCACCGAGCTACAGGCTCGGCGCGCGGGGTTCCTCCTCCGGGGCGGGGCGGGCCGGGGGCGGGGACACCAGACCCTGCGACTTCCTGACGTCCCCGGGTCGGCCCTTTGCCCCCACCCACCTTCAGCTCCTTCGGGGCAGGGGTGAGGGAGTCTGGCTGGCTGGTTACTCAGGGGCTAGGCGAGCGCCTGACACTTGGCACAGCGCCTAGCACGTCATTTTCGCTTAATGAGTGTGTTGAATGAATGAAAGAGTGAATGGGTCCTCTCCTGGCTCCCCCACTTACTAATTCTATAAACAGCTCCAATCAATAAAACGGAGAGAAATAGCTACCATTGTGTTGTGCAGGCTTGGTATAGTTCCAGGCCCAAGCAGGCCTTTGGAAGTATTGGAATTACTGGTTTCCTCCCCTTCTCTGTCGGCCTTTCCTCCACTCCCCTCCTCTTCAGTCGCCCTCTGATCAACGTGTTTAGGGTAGGTAGAGAAGAAAGAGCTCTCCCTCATTATTTTTTTAACCTGTTATTTATGTCCTGTCCGTTTCCAAAAATACAATGTGAGGTAGCTTTCAGGATGATGTACGTATATTTGTAACATTAAAGCTGCTAACATGGAAATGTTAAAATCCTTTTGAAGGAGAAGGGGAAAAAAAATCACTAATCACCTAGATTAGTGTAACTGAGTATTCAGTCTCACTTTGAGCTTTCTAGCTTCTGAGGGAAAGGAGGATGTTTGAACTTTTTGCAGAAAAAAAGGGAACATTTTCCTCCATCAAATCAACACCTAATGATAGACACAGAAGTGGTCACAAGATGATGTCAGTCTGCTTTACATTATCCTCAGTCTTCAAGAAGAGCAGAATTCCCATTATCCCCTTAGGCTTACAGGGAACTTATGGCGGAGTCCTGTCCTCACAAAAGACATTCAACATTGACAGAATTTTCAGCAGCAGTTTTAGAAAAGCTGCAGAAATTGTCTCTGACCGTAGGGAATAGCCAATACAAAACTCCACGTATGGCATGCACCCTTTTACATAAAAATAAGTAAATAATAAAATAGAAATACACTGGACACTTGAACAATAAGGAGTTTCAGGGTGCTGACCCCCTTGGAGTTGAAAATTGTGTAACTTTTAACGCCTCCACAGCTTAACTACTAATAGCTTGCTGTTTACTGGAAGCCTTACCAATCACATAGAGTCAATTTAGGCATATTTTGTATTTTATATGTATTATACGCTGTGTTTACAATAAAGTTAGATAGAGAAAATAAAATGTTTTTTCAAATTGTCACAAATCTCCAAAAAATTTTCCAATATATTTATTGAAAAACATCCATGTTTGTTCAAGGTGTTCAAGGGTCAAATTTATGTTAAAATGTCAACTATGAGACTGGGTGATTATAGATGACTTTCATTTTCTTCTTTTTGCTTTCCAAATTTTCTAAGGAAGTACTTTACTTGTATAATCAGGAAAAAGATTCTTAAAACAAATGAGGTCTGCTCCAAGATGTAAAAAGCTTAGAAATTGTCACTCCACATCTCACAACTAAAAATTAATAACTCTTAGATCCATCAGTGAATTGAGGTCACAGGGTGAACTGCAGACTCCAATACTGGAGAGACAGGCAAATGCAGATAATCAGTGTACAGGGAGTAGAAGGCTCTGAAGACATGGGAAAACTTGAGCTGTACTTCGCTAATGCTGGAGGCTGAGCGTGGACTAGCTTGAGAATTAAAAACCAGTGGCTTAGTTTTGGTAGGGTCCTTTTACTTTCTTGAGCATCACCCCCAGGTGCCTCACCTGGTTCTCCTCGTGAAACCAGAGAAGCCATCCCACTGTTTGACCAGGGGAAGGGAAAAGAATCATTTCGAAATAAAACCAGAGTGTGCTGTAACAAAAGCCTGCCTTCAAGGGGAATCAGTTTTCCAGAGCCTAATCTGGCCTAGCTCAGGAGCAGTGAGAGACAGCTCAGCCTACTCTAGCCTTTGTATCTAGCAGAAGTGGAAGAACCATAAGGAGTTGGGGGGCTAAGGAGCTCCTCTGAAGGTCACAGCCCAGAGTCTCAGGTCCATTAAAAAGAAAAACACTGAAATTTCATCATAAGATTATAGAATATTTCCTCTCCACAATACCTTACCACCATATCTGCAAAGCTCCTATATAGTAGCAATGGATCACAACTTTGTTTAAGAGGGAGTTTTGCGGGAAAGCCCAAGACAACAGGGAAGATAGAAATGAGGACCCGAGATGAAATTAAGGCCTCGGACACCGACAGGTATAGCGAACACAGAGCACGGCCTGACTCTCAGCCAGATGAACAGAATGCCTGGCCCTAAAGGATCAACCTCAGCCGCTGTTATCTGATACATGGTGTCTGACTTTTAACAAAAGAGTACAAGGCATGCTAAAAGACAGGAAAAACACCTTCTGAAGAGAAAAAGTAAGCTTGAGAACATGACTAGCCTGTGGCAGAGAATTTGGAATTATCAGACCAGGAATTTAAAGTTGCTGTGATTAACATGGTAAGGGTTCTGTTGTATCATAGAAAGATACTTGGTCTGTGTCCTCAGTTGTTGACACAGAGTTCTTAAATCCCTTGTAATTCCTGAATGATAGGGGTGATAGGAGCATCTTTTGTTCTGATGAGGTGATGCTAGGTAGGCCCCTAGATAGCTTCAGGATGGTGACAGGTCACCAGAAAGGCCAAGCCTTGTAACCACTAAAGCCTGGAACTTTCAGCTCACCCCTCAACCTCTGGGGAAGGGAGAGGCGCTGAAGATTGAGTTGACCATCCACCATGCCTGCATGATGACACCTCCATAGGAATGCCTAAAAGATGGAGTTTGGAGAGTTTCCGGGTTGTTAGACACATCAAGGTACTGGGAGGGTGACCCTCTTGGAGAGGGCATGTAAGTTCTGTGCCCCACCTCCCGGTACCTTGCCCCATGCATGTGTTCCATTTGGCTGTTCCTGAGTTGTATGCCTTATAATAAACCCAGTAATAGTAATTAAAGCACTTTTTTGAGTTTTGTGATTTATTCTAGTGAATTATTAAACCTGAGGGGCAGTCATAGGAACCCCAGACTTTGTAACCAAGTTGGAGGGAAGTGTGGGTAACCTGGGGGCCCAGTCCTTGTGACTGGTATGGGAAGTGAGGGCAGTGTGAACCCTGAAGCCTATGAAGTCTGATGCTAGTTCCAGGTCGTTATTGTCAGAATTGAATTGAGTTCTAGGACACCCAACTGGTGTTAGAACTGGTTGGTGTCAGGAGGGAAAATAAATTCTGAGATTCTAATGGAAAAGTGGACAATTAGAAACAATGGATGAATAATGTAAGTATAGAGGTGAAAATTCTAAGAAAAAACACAAGGAAATGCTAGAAAAAGAAAAAACAGGGTAACAGAAATGAAGAATACTTTAGATGGACTCATCAGTAGACTGGACACAGCCAAGAAAAGAATCAGTAAGTGTAAAGATGTCAATAGAAAATTTCCAAACTAAAATGCCAAGAGAAAAAAGAAAGAAAGAAAGAGAAAAAGAACAGAATATCAAAGAACGATTACTAGGCATAATAGGAATATCAGAAGGAGAAGAAAGGAGCAGAAGAAATATTTGAGAAAATAATGACCAAGAATTTCCTTAAATTAATGAGATACAACAAGCCATGGACCCAAGAAGCTCCAAGAATACTAAGAATACCAAAAAATCCACACCTTGGCTTCATATTTGAACTACAGAAAACCAAAGGCAAAGGGAAAACCTTGAAAGAATCCAAAGGAAAGATGCATTTTATTTACAGAGGAACAAGGATAAGAATTACATCTGATTTCTCTTCAGAAACTAGGCAAGCAAGACAAGAGTGGTGATGAAATGAGAAACCCAGCAACCTATAATTCTATTTCCAGCAAAATTATCCTTCAAAAGTAAAGGAAAAAGAAATACTTTCTCAAGCAAACAAACAAAAAAAGAAGGAACTGTTGCCAGGATAGTTGCCTCACAAGGAATGTTAAAAGTTCTTCAGAAATAAAAAATGTTAAGAGAAGTTCTTCAGAAATTGAAAATAATAATGTAGGTCAGAGACCTACATGCCTTAATGTGTACATGCCTAACAACAAAGTGTCAAAATATGTGAGGCAAAAACTGATAGAACTGCAAGGAGAAATAGACAAATCCATGATTATAGTTGGAAGCTTCAATACCCCTTTACCAGTGGTTGGCAAATCAAGCAGTCAGAAAATCAGTAAAGGTGTAGTTGAGTTGACCAATACCATCAATCAATGAGATCCAAATTGACATTTATAAAATACTTCATCAAATAGCAGCAGTATATACATTATTCTTTAGCTCACATGGAACGTTTGCCAAAATACACAACATTCTGGGCCATAAAACACACCTTAACAGATCTGAAAGAATAGAAATCATACAAAGTATGCTGTCAGGTCACAAAGGAACTAAACTAGAAATCAGTGATGGAAGACAACTAGAAAATCCCCAGATATCTAGAGATTAAACAACACACTTCTAAATAACATGTGGGTCAAAGAAGAAGTCTTAGGAGGAATTAAAAAAAATTTCAGCTAGATAAAAATAAGAACACAACTTACTCAATTTGTAGGAAATAGTGACAATAGTGCTTAGAGGGAAATTTACAGCATTGAAAGCAAATGTTAAAAAAGAAGAAAGACATAAAATCAATGATCTAAGTTTTTACCTTAGGAAACCAGAGAAAGAAGAGCAATAGGAACCTAAAGCAAGCAGAGGCAAGAAATACAGAAAACCAACATAATTGAAACCTTGTTCTTTGGAAAGATAAATAAAATTGGTAAACCTCTAGTCAGGCTAACCAGGAAAAAAGGAGAGAAGACACAGATTACTACTATTAGGAATGAAAGAGGGGTCATTACTACAGATCCTATGGCCATTAAAAGGATAATAAAGGAACATTACATATTACAAAGGAACTGTATGCTTATAAATCTGATAACTTAGATGAAATGGACCAATTTCTTGAAAGATACAATCTACCAAATGTCACACAATGAAGAACAGGTAATCAGAATAGTCCTATATTCATTACAGAAATTGAACCAACAATTGATAACCTTCCAAAAATACCAGTCCCAGGTGATTTCACAGGTGCATTCTACCAAATATTTAGGGAACACTAAAAAGAATACAGATGTACCACATCTGTGGCACTCCTGCCAAAGGTGCATAACCAAAAAGAGGGTCAGTCTAGAAAATAACTGGCCTGTGGTCTCCAAAAGTCATGAAAGTCAAGATTATGAAAGTCAGTCTGAGGAACTGTTCAAGACTAAGGGAAACTAAAGAGACATGACAACTAAATGCAGTCTGTGACTCTGAACTGGATCCTTTTCCACCGAGGACATGGTTGGTGACACTGGAAAGGGGTCAGAGGATGAGATGGCAATAATGTATCGAAGTTAATTTCCTGATTATGATGATTGTGATGTAGTTATGTAGGAGAGTGTCCTTGCTCCTAGGAAGTAAAAATGAAAGTATTTGGGGGTGAAGGGACACCAGGAAGTGGTTCAGAAAAAAGTTCTTTGTACTGTAGTTCAACCTTTCTGTAAGTTGGTGATTGTTTAAAAGTAAAAATGTATTGAAGACATGCAAAGAAGCAGTGAGATACACAATTTGGGGCCTCTAGAAAGGTATGTGCTAGAATTACACATTTGCACAACAGCCACATAGAACTGAAATGTTAAGTCCTCAATTGTATTGAGTCACCTACAGAAAGGATGGAAAAGAGGGCTGAGGACTGGGTCCTGGGTCTTGCCAATGTTTAGACGTCCAAGAGAGAAGTGAGGCAAGGAAACTGCCATGCATGGTCAATGTAGATGGGAGAAAACCAAGAGATTGGACATCATGGAAGCTGAGAGAAGAGAATTTCTTGATCAACTTTGTTGAATGTGGCCAAGGGGTTAAGCAAAAAATGAGGGAGTGACAATGGGCTTGGCAATTCAGAGGCTGCCAGTAACCTCTTGATAGAACTGTCTCAGTGGAGCCCAGTTAGAGTGGGGCAGGCTAAATAATGGCCCCCAAGGACATCTATGTACTGATCCCCAGAATCTGCAATTATTTTACCTTAGATGGCTAAAAGAGACTCTGTAGATATGATTAAGGATCTTGAGATGAGCAGATTAGTGTGGATTATATGGGGCTCAAGGTAATCACGGGGTTCATTTAAGAGGCAGGAAGGTAAGAATTAGAGAAAGAAAGTATAAGGACAAAAGGAAAGGCCAGACATCGGACAATGCTACCCTGCTGTCCTTGAAGACGGAGGACACATCATGAGCCAGTGAGTACGGGTGGCCTTCAGAAGTTAGAAGGGGTGAGAAAATGGACTTTCCCTCAGTCTCCAGAAGGAACTCAGCCCTGACATCACATTGATTTTAGGACTTCTGACATCCAAAACTAAGATAATACATCTGAGTTTTAAGCCATTAAGATTGTGTTAATTTCTTAGAGCAGCCAGAGGAAACTCATAAGGAAACAGAGGTATGGGAACAAAAATGAGAGGTGAGAAAGGAGAGGAAGAAGCAACTTGGAAGAAGTTTTGTTGTGAAAATGAGCAAAGAAATGGGGTGGGAGCCACAAGAATGAATAATTTTATTTTTATTTTTTTAATTAAAAGACATTTAAAAAATTAAAGTATTATGGATATACAATCTTTCACATGAACAACATTGTGATTTTAACATTCACCCATGTTATCAAGCTCTCATCCCCGCCCACCCCATTGCAGTCACTATCAGTGTAAGATGCTATAGAGTCATTACTTAATTAATAGACAACTTCTTAAGAACAGTTTTAGATTTATAGAAAAATTGAGTGGAAAGTATAGAGTTCCCATATTACTTCTCCCCCAGTTTTATTAACATCTTGCATTAGTGAGATGCATCAGTTACAATTGATGAGCTAATATTAATACATTATTATCACCCACAGTCCATAGTTTACAGGAGGTTTTACATGTCATGTACATTGGTATGAGTTTTGACAGATGTATAATGACATATATCCACGTTTGCATTGTCATACAGAGTAGTTTCACTGCCCTAAAAATTATTCATTTTCCACCTATTCATCTCTCCCTCCCCTAACCTCTGGCAACCACTGATCTTCTTGCTGCCTTCATAGATTTGCTTTTTCCAGCATGACATATAGTTGCAATGGTACAGTATATAGCCTTCTTAGATTAGCTTCTTTCACTTAGCAATATTCATTTTAAGGGTTCCATATTTCTTTTTGTGGCTTACTAGTTCCTTTTCAATGCAGAATAATACTCCATTGTGTGGATGTACCAGGGTTTGTTCATCCATTCACCTATTGAAGGACATCTTGGTTCTTTCCAAGTTTTGGGCAATTATGAATAAAGATGTTATAAACATTTGTGTGCAGGAGTCTGTGTGAACAAGTTTTCAACTCATTTGGGTAAATACCAAGGGATGCAATTGCTGTATCCTATTTTTATTTAGTTTTGTAAGAAAAGAGACTCTGTAGATATGATTAAGGATCTTGAGATGAGCAGATTAGTGTGGATTATATGGGGCTCAAGGTAATCACGGGGTTCATTTAAGAGGCAGGAAGGTAAGAATTAGAGAAAGAAAGTATAAGGACAAAAGGAAAGGCCAGACATCGGACAATGCTACCCTGCTGTCCTTGAAGACGGAGGACACATCATGAGCCAGTGAGTACGGGTGGCCTTCAGAAGTTAGAAGGGGTGAGAAAATGGACTTTCCCTCAGTCTCCAGAAGGAACTCAGCCCTGACATCACATTGATTTTAGGACTTCTGACATCCAAAACTAAGATAATACATCTGAGTTTTAAGCCATTAAGATTGTGTTAATTTCTTAGAGCAGCCAGAGGAAACTCATAAGGAAACAGAGGTATGGGAACAAAAATGAGAGGTGAGAAAGGAGAGGAAGAAGCAACTTGGAAGAAGTTTTGTTGTGAAAATGAGCAAAGAAATGGGGTGGGAGCCACAAGAATGAATAATTTTATTTTTATTTTTTTAATTAAAAGACATTTAAAAAATTAAAGTATTATGGATATACAATCTTTCACATGAACAACATTGTGATTTTAACATTCACCCATGTTATCAAGCTCTCATCCCCGCCCACCCCATTGCAGTCACTATCAGTGTAAGATGCTATAGAGTCATTACTTAATTAATAGACAACTTCTTAAGAACAGTTTTAGATTTATAGAAAAATTGAGTGGAAAGTATAGAGTTCCCATATTACTTCTCCCCCAGTTTTATTAACATCTTGCATTAGTGAGATGCATCAGTTACAATTGATGAGCTAATATTAATACATTATTATCACCCACAGTCCATAGTTTACAGGAGGTTTTACATGTCATGTACATTGGTATGAGTTTTGACAGATGTATAATGACATATATCCACGTTTGCATTGTCATACAGAGTAGTTTCACTGCCCTAAAAATTATTCATTTTCCACCTATTCATCTCTCCCTCCCCTAACCTCTGGCAACCACTGATCTTCTTGCTGCCTTCATAGATTTGCTTTTTCCAGCATGACATATAGTTGCAATGGTACAGTATATAGCCTTCTTAGATTAGCTTCTTTCACTTAGCAATATTCATTTTAAGGGTTCCATATTTCTTTTTGTGGCTTACTAGTTCCTTTTCAATGCAGAATAATACTCCATTGTGTGGATGTACCAGGGTTTGTTCATCCATTCACCTATTGAAGGACATCTTGGTTCTTTCCAAGTTTTGGGCAATTATGAATAAAGATGTTATAAACATTTGTGTGCAGGAGTCTGTGTGAACAAGTTTTCAACTCATTTGGGTAAATACCAAGGGATGCAATTGCTGTATCCTATTTTTATTTAGTTTTGTAAGAAACTGCCAGACTGTTTTCCAAAGTGACTGCACCATTTTGCATTGCCAGCCATGATGAATGAGAATTCAAACTGCTCCACATCCTCACCAGTATTTGGTGATGCCAGTGTTTTGAATTTTAGCCATTCTAATAGGTGTGTAGGGTACCTCATTGTTGTTTTAAGGGGTGGATATTTTTAAAATGGGAGATTCTCATGCATATTCATAGACTATGAGAACTATCCAGTAAAGACTGATAAAGTGATAATGGGGAAGAGAGGAGATAAAGACAAGAATGAAGTCGTTGAGATGGGAGGGGGATCCAAGAACACTAGAGGGGTTGGTCTCAGGTAGGAACAGGGGCCTTGTCCTTTGTAATAAGAGAAAGGAAGGCAGAAAGAGTAGACTTTCCAGCTTTGCATGGTAGATTTGAGGTAGAAGGTAAGAGTGTCTGACAGCTTTTGCTTTTTTTGCAGAAAGTATGTGGCCAAGTCATCTGCTAAGGATGAGATGAGTAGGAAGGATCATGAAGGAGGTTTGTGGAGAAAGAACATTCTGGATGTAGAATACTCTTCTCCATCAAAGATTTCATGATGGGAGGTGAGCCAGGGAAGGCGTCTGTCTGGGCTGGAGTGAGTGCTGGTACAGTTTGAACTTTCCCTTCATAAAACCCATACCCCTACACCTTTCTTATTTTCCTGGGGCCAGTGGAAAGAACACCAAATTAGGGGTCTGGAGAACAGGATCTGGTCTCAACTGTGGCATGGACATGCCATTGGTCAGGTTTACTTCTGAGGCCAAATGCTCAGCTCCTGTGGGTCCTGGCTGAGGCTGGAGATGTCTGTGCCATGGGAAAGCCATGAGCTCTTCCTCATATGTACATGTGTAAGGACAGTGGAGGCTAGTTCCCCCCGAGTCTGTGACAGAGAAACCCCAAACAGTGGTTTGGCCATATTTAGCCTCTCTTTCTGAAGCTGCCTTCCTTAGCCCAGGCAGGTGGGAGGAAATGGGGCTGCTTCTTCCAGCTCATCTGCAAGACGTCTCTACTAATAGTTCAGGGTGTTGCAGCCATGGCATCTTCTGGCCCTGTTTGACAGACAGAGGCTCTGTCACACCCAACCTCAACTCGGGACCAAGCCATATGCACATGACCCTCTTTCCCCACCTTGGGTTCTCAGAATTATTCATTTCCTTCCTCTTTAACCATATGCTTAGGCCAGCACCACCTGCTAGGGCTTGGCTGTGCCCCTACTCTCACCCTACTAGACTCCTTATTGAAAGGTACTAGGGCCCTGGGGCCACTGAAGTCCTTGGGAGCCCAGACCATCCCCAAGCTTGTTGGAGAAGTGGGTGCTGCCAGGGCTTGAAATGAAAGAAAAAAAGAAGTGAAGGGATTTGAAACAGCTTTCTCACCTAAAACATGCTGCTGGACCAAGTGATTCCTAATTTCTCTTGAGACTTTATACTGTAGCAATGCATTAATTTTGCATATACATTATTGCCTCTCATCTTGTGAGTTACTATGGAAATGTAGAGTTATTTAAAAAACAGTCCCTAAGTCTCTGTTTTCTCATGTACTTGAATCTCCCAATCTTAAATGGCCATCTGCTAGGAGGACTGTGTGTGTGGGCAGCTGATGGATTCCTAGGAGACCTTACTTTTCTAGGGCAGTAGCTCAAAAGGGCAGGTAGCTCATAAAGGCTAGTAAAGACCAACCAAGGTGCCTGGACTCAATCCCAGGGCCTGGTGGGTTGTTGGGGAGCAGTAGTGGCATTGGGTATGGCAGTCCTCAAAGGTTCCCCCTGTCTTATCCAGGGACCCCTAGAGGGGAAGCTGTAAGAAATTCCAACATGAATGTGTGAAGCCCTCAGAGTGGGATCAGCACACTTACAAGAAGAGAACTCTCACCTGGAATCAAATTGGCTGGCACCTTGTCTTGGATTTCCAGCCTCCAGAACTGGGAGAAATAAATATCTGTTGTTTAAGCCACCTGGTCTGTGGTATTGTGGTAGAGCAGCCCATGTTGACTTAAACAATATGGTTTTTATATAATTGAATTTTCCAGAAACAAAATCTGCTGTGTAAATTGAGAGAGGACTGTTCTTGTTTTGCTCAGAATTATACCACCAGTTCTTCTCTGTTCTGAAAAATCACACACCAATAAAAACAGTCCCAGCATCTGAGTTAACAGAGGATCACGCCTGTCTCAGACTGTGTGGCAGATGTGGTGTTTGTGGTGTGTCCCGAGCAGAAAGTTAGCATGACCCACTGTACAGATTAGCACATTCTCTGTTGGCTGTCAAGGGAAGATTTGACAAAGGTGAGACCAGGAATGCAGAATACAGTGCAGAGGATCTTGTGGTAGCCCAGAGGTGACGGAGCCCTGGATCAAGACATCAGAGTGTGAGGATGGGTTAGAAATACTTCAGAGTATGAATCAATAGGATGTGGTGCTAGATTGATTATGTGGAGTTAGGGTTACATAATGAGTACAGACAAGCTCCCAAGATCCTAGATTAAGCAGCTGTTAGATGGAGGCACTGTTTTCTTTCTTTAAAAAAATTTTTTTTTATTAAGATATCATTAATACACACTCTTATGAAGGTTTCACATGAAAAACATTGTGGTTACTACATTCACCCGTATTATCAAGCCCCCCCCATACCCCATTGCAGTCACTGTCCATCAGTGTAGTAAGATGCCACAGAGTCACTACTTGTGTTCTCTGTGCTGCATAGTCTTCCCCGTGACCCCCACACACACCATGAGAGGCACTGTTTTCTAGGATGGTATTTGTGATAGTTAATTTCATGTGTCTACTTGGCTGGGCCATGGTATCCATTTTTTGGTTAAACACCAGTCTAGATATTACCATGAAGGTATTTTTCAGAGGTGATTCATTTTTTAATCAGTAGACTTTGAGGTCCATCATGAAACTGGGCCTCATCTAGTCATTCAAAGGCCTTAAGACTGAAGTCCCCTGAGGAGGAAGAAATTCAGCCTCCAGCCTCCTTCGGACTCAAGCTGCAACATCAGCTATTTCCCAGATCTCCAGCTTGCTGGCCTCTGCAATCATGAGAACTAGTTCCTTAAAATAAATCTCTCTCTATATATATATCCATGTTTATCCCATTGGTTCTGTTTCTCTGGAGCACTCTGACTAACACAGTATACATTAAGAATGGAGCAGATGTTGGGGGGGATGGTGGTGGAAGAAATGAGCTCAATTCAAGGTGCCGAGAGTTGGAGGCACAGGGCAATGAAGAAGTTCCCAGGCAGTGGTTGGTTCTAAGCTCTCACTGAAGAATATTTAGGCTTGCAAGAAAGGCTTTGGGGACTAGCAGTGTGCAAATGGCAACTGACCCTGTGCATGTCAGAGTGCAGGCAAGCTACTGCTGAGAGACTGGGGAGCAGGGCCTGGGGAAGTGAGGACAGAGTTAGAAGCAGCCTCAACTGCTGTGCAACAGGGGAGGAAGACAAGCCTGCCAATGAGGCAGAGAGAAAACAGAAAAATGAGAGGCCATCACAGCTGCCAAAGGAAATAGGCTCGCAGAGGAAGTGGCTGACCGAAATCAGCGGTGTCAAAATGTCAGGAGAATCAACCAGTCGTGGGCGACTTGATGGACCGCTGGTTTTGTGCAGCGGGGAGGGCGAAAGCCAGGTGGCTGAGAGTGGAGGCCTGAGATGGAGACGGAGCGTGGCAGACTCGTTTTCAGCAAGTTTCCCTGGGAAAGTGTGGGAGGAGATAATGTTGCTGCTGGAGAGGACGTGGGGAGAAGACAGGGCCTGCTTCATTCTTGGGTTTTTCTCCCCCAATTAGGAGCGCCTTGAGTGTGTTTAAATGGTGGTGCAAAGGAGCCAGCAGCTCTGGGGAGGTGCAGGAGACAGAAAACAGGGGTAAGAGAGGTCTGAGTGGGTGAAAATTGTGTGTGATCTTCCCAAACACTTTCAGACTAGGCTTTTCTAAGAACAAATGGTAGTCTTTACTTACATTTTGGACGTTTCTGGGTTGATGAGTTTGCCTTGAGGAAATAAGACTCCACTTCTTTGGTGCTGTGTGGAACTCAACTGCTTTCCCTGTCCTAGAGGGGACCCATTTTTCAATTCCATATGTTCCTTCATTTAACAGGTATTCTTCTTTTCTTCTTCATTTTTCATTAGATCTCAAGTGCACAGAAGAGGAATAATCATAATGCTTAGTTCATGACATGATTTCATCATTGGTCTTTATTTGTCCTGCTTCAAATCAGTTATTTTAAAAAATACGATAACATCCATGAACCCATTTACCCCATCCCCTAACCCAGGCCCCTAACAATAACCTACATCTAACTTTCACCATCTCATCCCCCTGCCTCCCCAGTCCTGGGCATCCAGGATCCAAGCTTTCTTGTTTACATTGTTTTGTTACGGCTGTATGTATCCCTTAAAAGTACTTTAAAAGTTTAAGTTGATCTTAGAGTTTTTCGGGACTTTACTTTTTCATATAATTTTAACTTGCTAGGGTTTATCCCAATTGCTGCTGCTGGCTATGATTCATTCCATTTGACTGCTCTTCAATATTCATTGTGAGAAGGGGCAACTGCGGAAGAATTCTAAGATGGTGCCCAGGCCCTGGTGTACATACGCCTTATTTAATCAAACAGTAATCTAGGTGCTGCTGTGATTGGATTTTGCAGAGGTAATTCAGGTCCCAAATCAGTGGACCTTAAGAAAGGGAGTTTGACCTCATCACATGAGTTCCTTAAATTTGAGTTTAGTCAGAGATTCAAAACTGCAGTGACATTCCTGTCAGCCTTGCAGAAGAAAACTGTCACATTGTGGAGTGGGCCCATGTCAGGTGGCCTCTAAAAGCTAAGGATGGCAGGGCTGACAGCCAGCAAGAAAGTGGGGACTGAATTCTGCTTTGGAATGAGAGGGCTGCCCTGTCCAACACCTTGGTCCAGCCTGGGGAGGCCCTGGGCAGAGAACTCAGTCATGGAGTATCCAGATTTCTGGCCTACAGAATTTTGAGACAATAAATGGGTGTTGTATTAAGGCACTAAGTTTGTGGTAATTTGTTATGTAGCAGGAGAAAATGAACACAACTATAATCTATTCTCCTATTTTCTGTGATGAGCATTTGGGTTGTCCTCAGGTTTTTGTTATTAAGAGCAGTCTTGCTATAAACATTCTTATATATTTTGCCTGTTTTATAGGTACAGGAACTTCAGGTTTGTTTTCAAGAGTGAAATTGTTGAATCATAAGATGGGTAAATTTTAAACTTTGCAAAGACTTGCCAAACTTTTCCCCAATGTTATTCTATCAATTTATACCCACACCAGCAAATATAGAAATATTTTTGTTTATATTAGTTTCTATCTCAATTACATGTGGTCAGAAGCTCTGGTTTGTGTGATAGCCATTCTCTGAAATTTGTTCAGGGTTTCTTTATGCCTAGTATATGATCAATTTTTGTAAATTTTCATGGATGCTTGGAAAAAATGTGTTCTTTAAGTTTGGATGCATAGCTCTGTATATTTTTTAGATGATGTCCAAATCTTTTAGATTCCTGCTTAATTTTTTGTTTGTTTACTTGACCCATCATTAATTGAGAATGCTGTATGGAAGTCACCCATTGTGAAGGTGGATTTGATAAATTTCTCCCTATATTTCTATCAATTTTTGCTTCATATATTCTTGGGAATTAAACTTTTGATCATTTTTATAGGCCCTCCTCATCCTTAATAATACTTTCTGATTTATTTTATATGGCATGACTGACCTGATACATCCTGATTTGCTAAAAAAGTCCTGGTTTATTTTTTTTCCTGGTGTAAGCTGGAACTAGTGTGAGACAATAAATTATATATGGTTACCCTGATTTTATATGATATTAATATTGCCACTTGAGCTATCTTGTGGCCAGTATTTGCCTAATATGTCCTTTCCATGCTTTTGCTTTCAACCTTTTGTGCTTATATTATATGTGTATGTCATATGTTATGACAGCATATATCTGGATTTTTTTTCCCACTCAATCAGTCAATCTGTATATTGGTGCATTTAGTTCATTTACATTTATTGTAATTATTAATATTTTTGGACCTGTTTCCTCTGTCTTAATCAAGGCTGAAACTAGTGTGAGGCAAGTATAATTCCAGGCCCAAAATTCAAGGAGGCATTCACTCTTGGGTTCATGCAAGTTCAAAGTCAGCAGCCGAGAGTGAGTGGGTTCTTAAACTTTGTGCTCTGGGAACCACCCTATTTTGACTCTTAGCTTATTACTCAGTTTGTCCTACTTTTGCAATGTCTTTAAAAAATAAAATTTGTTTCCTCCATCAAATAAGACAAATGCTTAGTACACTGTCATTGTTTTTGACACCTTTCATTGCCACCACCACCACAGTCATGTTATCTAGAACAGGACTTTCCAATACAACAGCCACTTGCCTCATCAGCACTTGAAATGTGGCTAGTCCAAATTGAGATGTGGTCTAAGTCTGAAGTACACACTGGATTTGGAAGAGTTACTATGTGAAAGAGAATGTAAAAATCTAATTAAGAAGATCTTGTTAACAGTTTTTTTATTATATGTTGAAATGAAATTATTTTGGATATATTAGGTTAAATAAAAATATTTTAAAAATGAATTGGACCTGTTTTTAATTTCTTAGTATGACTTTAGTTTAAAATGACATAAGGGGCTCACATGATCTTTCTATTGGCCCATGCTGATCTAGACTTTAATTCTGGGTAATTATAAATGTGATTTTTTCTTTCTTATTCCTTTGGTCTGAGTATTTTTGGAAAGACAATAACCAAATTTGATCACATATTTGATCACTTAATTCTATGTTTCTTGCAGGTACTCCTTGATTTGTCTCTCTCCTTTTTCAAGTTCTGAGGCTTTGTACAACTGAGAATGTTTATTTCATGCCCTGAAACTTGGATGCAGTTTGGCTGGATATATATTACTAGGTTCTAAGATCATTTCTTTCAATATACCTTTTCAAGTATTAAGAGGTATGCTCCATCACCATCATAAGCAACAGCCTCCATTGTTGCTGTTGGGGAATCTGGCATCAATCAGATTTTTGTTCCTTTGTATGACATGCTCTTTTCCCCTAGAAGGTTTCGGAGTTTTGTCTTTAATCAACCCATATTTTACTATAAGGTGACTATGTGTGATTTGTCCCCCTTATTTTCCCTCTTTCTCATTCTAAAAGTTCTTTTATTCTGATGTATTTCATTTTTTTAAAAAGACTCTAGGAAATCTAGCTCCATTATTTTGTCAACTACTTCCTTATTTTCATTTTTATTCCTCCTTTTCTGAGTCTCACTATTGGGATATTAGCATTTTCTTTGTTTTTCTTGTAATATTTTCTGTTTTTCTTTGTCTTTCTCTTAAAGAATTTGCTCAATCTGGATTTCAAATTCACCATTTTTTCCCCCTAAGGTTGTATCCATCTGCTATTTATAAAGAAATGTGTTCTTTATGTCAACTATTCATATTTTTTATGTCTTATGCTTGATTCCCTTTATGTTTCTTTATTATTGCTTCATTTCACCTTATTTCTTGATAATTTATAAAGCTAACTTTAACTTCTTGGACTTTAAGAAAATTTTTGTTTATGATGGAATCTGCAATCCAGCATTTGTTTGCCTTTTTGGAAATGGTTATGCTTCTCAAATGTCTGTCGCTCTTTTGAGCTATGAGTTCATTTTCCACGGTGAGGTTGGGAGAGGATCAGCGTCTCTGTCAGGTAATAACCTGTGGGAGAAGGCTGGACTCCAGTCCACACCCTCTGCAGGGAGATGGGTGGGGCCTGATCAGCCGCAGACCCTATGCTACCTGTAGTCACTCCACAGTCAGCCAAACCAGCTCCGCGGGTCAGCTCTCTACCCTTTGCCCCAGGGGAGAAGCAATTTTAGAAAGAAGTGCTCTTCAGATTCCTTTGGCATGGAGGTTTGAAAAGGGAGGTAGGTATCAGAGAAGGAAATCAACTGCCGGAGGTTTGTATTTCTCAGCTCCTCAGGTGCACAGGACCTCTGAGACGCCCTGAGCTTTCTCCTGGGGACACAGGGCTGGGTCGGTATCAGTGTAGGGCCTGTCCTGCTTGCCCCTGGCATTGTGGGGGGAGGGGCAAGGACAGAGCCCTCAGCAATGTTTCTACTTCACTATTTTCACTGCCAGCCCACCAAGTTCTGCTTCCAGCAGAGCCTCTCATCCCTTCATAGTCCTGCCCTCCCCGCCCCTCCGGTTCCCTGGGGGGTTCTCATAATTTGATAGTTTCCCCTGTAGCACCTCCTGGGTTTATCTTGGGCAAATCAGCGCCCTTGATTCAACATCTTAATTGAAAATAGAGCTGGGACTATCTCGCGAGTGCCCACTTTGCTAGGCATCGTGCTTCGTGCCCCAGGACCCTCAGTGAGTGAAGCAGGCTCATTCCTCATCCCACAGAGCTGCTTCCAAAGCAGTAAGGAACAGCCGCAGAGCCGGGTAATTCATGGCAACTGTGATCAGTTCTAGAAATGAGACAGGCTAAGGGCCATGAGAATGTATGGGGGACTTATCCTAGGGGTTAGGGAAGGCTCCCTGGAAGATGGGACACTTGAATTGATACTGGGATACTGGTGAAATGTAGCAGTAGCCATTGGGAGGGGAAGGGTGGGTGGATGAGACAGGAGGGCATTTGCTGAGGTGGAGAGGGTTTTTAACTTAATTGTTGTATAATTAGAGTTAATTACAGAGTAGAGGTAATTAGAGTTACAGAATAGAGGTTTTGTTAACATAATAAACTGTTCTTTTTCAAAAAACAGTGATTAAGTAGTTTATTTATTTAAATGACTATATACACATATATATTTGCTGCTAAGTCTCAAAAAAGTCTCTTAAGTGACCCAAATCGTCATTTGGGGTAATAAGAAATTTATAATTACAGCTAGCATGCATGGGATTACCAAGGAGCGGGCAGGAGGCCACGTGGCTCATGTAACTGAACAAGGGTGAGCCTGATGCTAGGGAGGCAGGCAGGGGTTCCTCACAGGTGTAAGGGTTTCGGGCTGGGTTCTGAGGGCAGCGGGAACCTCTGGCGAGTTTAAGCCTGAGAGTGATCGGATACGAGTGGCTGTTTCCGAAGGTGACCCCAGCGGTGATGGGGGCGGGGAGCTGGGCGCAGGGAGGCCTGTGAGGAGGCTGGTCCCAGAAGGGGTGCTGGTGGCTGAGGCAGGATGCGGGCAGTGGATGCGGAGAATAGAAGGTGGGCTTCACAGATACTTAGGAGCTGGCCTTGTTAGGATCTGGGGACGGGATTGGCCAAATGACAATGGGCACCGAGGAAGGACATCCTGGAGGAGAAACACATCTGTGGGGAAGATGGAGATGACTCGGCTGTGCCACTGGATGTGTAACTGAGATCACAGAGCCAGCGCAGAGGTCCGGCTGGGGAGTCACTGACCTGCAGACGCACCCGAATCTGCGGGGGTGGATGTGTCTGCAGCGTTTCTCAATGGGCACGAGTATTGGACACTGGAGTGGACACTTCCTTGGTGACATTGCCCTCTGTTTGGCCTCTCGGGCTCCCACCCATAAATGCTGGTAAGGCAGCCTCCTTCACAACACTTTGACAGACCCAAATGTGTCACATATTTCCAGTGCCACCTCCCCTTGATAATCTGGAGCCCATAAAGAGAATATAGAATGAAAAAAGAGAAAAAGGCAATCTGAACCTTGAGGTTTGGTAGAGAAAGAGGAAGCTGGGAAGGAGGAAGAGGAATGTGTGGTGTCCAGGCTGAGAGAAGAGTGTTTTCAGAAGAGGGGGTAGGTCAACTGTACTGAATGCTGAGAAGTCAAGCTGAGAACCCAAACACTGCATTCTAGGGCCTGGAGGTGGATGAGGATCTCAGCAGTGCTGGGTCAAGGGCCTCGTGTGGGTGAGGGGTGTAGGCTGGGGCGAGGCAGGTTGAGAAATGGGTGAAGACAGCAAGGGGTGTCCACGTGCACAGCTGTGTGTGCATGTGCATACATTCCTATATGGCAGCTACACACCCTGATTTTCTGAGCCGGTACTATTTTAAACTTTTTGACTACTTCTCACAAAGGCAATTACTGAAAAATGCATTTAAGTAGAATTAACTTTATAATTTTCATATAAATCATACAAACCAGAAAAATGATCAAATTAAGGCTCCTTGTCAGTTTTTTGAGAAAATATCTGTTGTTTTCTTGTTTTAAAGAAACAAACCCAACTAATGCTGAATATTCAGTAGCAGCATTACTCAGAAGACTTCTGATACACACTGTCGAAGGACTGAGTTGTCACTTTCAGGGGAATTCCAGATGCAGAGTCCCCACGTGTTCTGAGTCACAGCGCACAGGCATCTGAGGCAGAGCAAAGCACGATCTTGGCCTGAGGGCTCCTGCAGTGACTCTGAGGAGGGTGAGTCATTCCATTACTGGAAGTCATTCCTCTTCAGGACTTCTTGAAACAGGAGATATAATTCCCCGGGTTGAACAGTAACTAAGAAAAAAATTAGTGGAGAGGACAAACTACTCCACTCTTATTGAGTCATCATCTGGCAGATTGGGTTACTGGCTGTGGGTGTTGGGTATTTTCTTGATTTTTCAATCTGTAGCTTCTTGAGTTGTTCCATTCTGTACTTTTTTGTCTGCATCGTTGAACATGATTGATTCTCTCTGCCCTGTATTTATAGTTTTGCATATTTAATGGCTGGTTGGAAGAAAAGTTACAGTACAGTACACTCCCCTCGCCCACCCCCCAAACAATCAGAACTTATTCTCACTATGTACCACTTGCTCCACTCTGTCCCATTCCCTTCCAGCCGTTCTTTCTCTTTAATGCTGCCTGAGACTCACTAAAGTGATTTCAGGACCCACAAATAGGCCCCCAGCTGCAGTGTGGAGGAAGCAAGGGAAACCCACAGGCACAGTGGGTGAAGAGGTGATTAATACCCCTAGCTGGTGAGTTATGCCTTAGGTTCAGAATCACGGTGCCCATCCAGTGAGGGGCCCTCCCCACCGGCTGTCCCAGTGGCTGGGAGGCTCTGCCTCTCCCCATGCATGAGGCCTGGTGGCCTTGTGCCCTGGCTGAGAGCCCCCACCACAGCCCCGCCTGCCGAGGGATCAGTGCAGACAACAGATTGGTGCTCTGTCCACAGAGGCCTGTGGGTTTCCTTTGTCTCTCTTCAAGTCCGGGTTTTCCAGACTGTAGTTTGGGGCCTATTAATAGGGTCATGAAATCAATTTAGTGTGTCTCAGACATTGGTAGAAAAAAAAAGAAATCAAATGGAATAGAATAGAAAAGTATTTAAATAGGAGAATAGGAAAGAGCAGAGCACACAGGACATAGTAAGGATAAGTATCCCCCTGTTTTAAGTGTGTGTGCTGTGTATGTTGTATGTGGTGAGTGGTGTGGGTGGTGTGTGTATGTGTGGTGGGTAAGTGGTGTGTGGTGTATGTGTGAATGTGTGGTGTGGAGTATGTGGGGGGTGTGTGTGAGTGTGTGGTGTATGTGATACAGGTGTATTAAGTTGTAATCAGAGTGGCTTTGCCCTGAAAGTAACAAAGATTCAGGGTCCCTAGCACTTTGCAAAGCCCTGTACTATTTTGGTATTTGTAACACTAGATCATGCTATTTTCCTTAAAGATGGATAAGCTTCATTGTCCTTAAGCCCCGGGCCATTTCTGGTTGTGAGGTAGCATGCTTTACTTCCCGTGGGTCATGTGCAAATGCGAGAAATACCAAACCCCACACTCTCACGCACTTTCCACATAGCGGCCAGGGTGTCTTTGGCTTCCATGTACAAGGCTTCCTAGGCCCCTGCAGTCCTCAGAATAAACCCAGGCTCCTCAGCTGGTCCCAAAGGCCACTCTTCTTATCCCTGCTTCCTGCTCCAGTCTTCCTTGGGGCCACTCCTCACCCATTCTCTGCCCTCACCAGGCTAAATTAGTGTCCTGCCTTCAGACTCTTTGTTTGCTCTCGTGCCTGTGGAGGTTGCTGCCAGGATAACCTTCAAGCCCCTCTTTCCCAGATTCCTCCTTTCCTTCCTGCACTCTGCTTAGCTGTCCCTTGAGGGTGCCTCCCCTTCCCCAAGTGTGGGCCAGGTGACTGTCCTGTAAAGCCCACAGCGTCCTGCACTTCCACCAGCTCAGAGCTATGACCTGCTGCGGGTTGCTCGCCCCTGTGCTGTTTCCCCAGCTCATCCTGCGCCCTTCTCCTGGCTGGCTCTGCTGCAGGTGACTGCTGCGTACTACGTCATCCCTCATGCCAGCCCGAGGGTCAGCAACTATTAGCACCTTCCTCATTATACAGATGAGAAAACAGAGGCCCAGAAAATTTAAGTGACTTGTTTACAGTCACATAGTGGTGAAACCAGGATCCTGACCTTTGGACCTGGCTCCATAGCCCCCTTTGTGACTAAATGAATTTTAAGAGGATTTAAAAGCTCTTTGTAACCTTAGCTGATCTTTAAAAAGTGTGGATCATGTTAAAAAGAAGGTTCAGGTGAGCCCCTAGATGGAAATGACGGGGGGCTGGGAGAGCTGGATTTCCCTACAAATGCTTACCATAGTGCTGTGTGGGCTAGAGGTAGCCTTGGGGGTGGACGAGGTCCAGGATTGAGGATGGAGGTGGGCACAGTGTGGGAGAAGTGGGGGGAGGGGGAGAGAGAGAGATCACTTAGGCACAGGAGAGCAAATCCCTCGACCCTGGAGCCCTGCAGGGCGCAGAAAACCAAAACAGTCTGAGCATGTATCACCATGGAGCTCTACCCTCACCCTCTGTCTTGCCAATGGGTTTCAGCCCCGGGCAAGTTCGCTATGGATTCAGTGTGACCAAAGAAATTGACAGCAAAACGTTCTTTGGGGTGAAAGGGTTATACCCAACTTCATTTCCAGGTGGCAGGTCAGTCACTAGAATCTCATTCACTCAGAGCAAGTCTGCATGCAGCAAGCCAGTCTCTGCCTCTGGGCCACTCTGTCTGCACAGCTGTCCTCTGGGCCTCTGTCCTTGGCACTGCACCACTCCAGCCTCTGCTCTGCTCTCCTGCAGCCTTGCAGCCCTGCCATCATGTCACGCCCAAAGCACTGGGCAGAGCTCTTTTTATAGAGTCAACAGCCATGTATTGCCCACAGGTGTGCAGTGAGCTAGTCAACCAGGGCCAGGTAAGAATCCTGGTCCCAGGAACTCTCATTTTATCCACACCCCCATACAATATTTTTCAGAGTGCTCACAATGCCCTTCTGTCTAAGTGGATTCCTTTGGCAGAGCACAAAGTACTGAGGCCATACTGTTATAAAGAGAGAGAAATTGTAAGAAAGCAGGTCCAGAGAGCTGACATCTGGGCCATGATATTGACAGATCTGAGCCAATCACACTGTGTTCCTCAAAGGGAAAGGAGTCCCAGCTGACTCGGATTGAGCGTGAATGGCTGGGTGAATCAGCATTGATTCACAACCAGCTCCTCATTTCATTAGAAGCGTCCTGTCCCCCAGCCTGAGAGACATGGAAAGCCTTGCCTTCCTCTGGGCCCAGACTCTGGTTTTCAATCTTTCAATAATTAACCTCTGCCTCCAATGTCCTGACATGTCCTGTAAGTGGTCTTACGGTAAAGCAAATGCACTTTAAGCAAAGAATTGTACTTTCCTGTTACACCTATAGTAGTGGCAGTAATGGTATGTTTTGCATAAAATCTGATACGTGAATACAATAATTTTCTAATGTTTATTTGCAATGAACTGGTGGTAGATTCAGACAACTGGTTACTATTTAAATGTATTAATTCTTCCTTAGAACAACTCTTTAGGCTGGGGTAGATCCCATTTTGAGCCTGCAGGGTGAAATCTGTAGTGGGCCCAGGAGCCCATTAGTCTGACTCCTCAGAACACCTGTAACTGCCCTTCATGCTCTGAGGCTCCAAGTCAGGAGCACATAGGACAAGGCTCTGTCTGCCTGGGAGCTGAATGTCCTCCAGTGTAATCAGATTGCTGCTGCCTAACCGCTGGACTGATGAGGCCCACCAGGCCCAGTGAGGTCTTGCTGTGTAGCTCCAGGCTAGCTAATCAGCAGAACTGCTCCAGCCTTGAGTGCGTGAAGCTGCAGTGGGAGAGGGGAAATCACGAGGGAGGAGAGAGTCTTTGCAGCTGGGCTTGACGATATCTGGGGTGGCTCTTCCTATCATGGCATTACGTCTACAGCTCCCCAGTCAGTGCCTCAGGAGCTGGACTCAGTACCTGCAGAGGGCTGCCAGCTGCCCTATTCTGACATCATGTACTTCCTTCTGAACTTTTAGGTACATGGGCTTGCATGACTTTCTCAAGAGGTGCCTAGGTCTGGGCTTCCTATCAGTCTGGCGTTGATGCATGCCTACATGGTGGTAAGACAAAGACCTTTGAACCACTGATTTATCATCATGGGAGTAAAAACTATATAGGTGAGTTAATTTTAGTAAACAGTGGAAAAACATTAACAAATAAACAATATTTTAGAAGTTAACAAAATTGAAAACACAGTGACTATTATGGTCTGAATTTTGCCCCCTCCCCTAAATTCATATGTTGAAGTTCTAACACACAGTACCTCAGGATGTGATTGTGTTTGTAAATAGGGCCTTACAGAGGTAATTCAGGTAGAACGAGGTCATTAGGATGGACTCTAGTCCAATATGACTGGTGTCCTTATAGGAAGAGATTAGGACACAGACACAGAGAGAAGAGCTATGCCAGCCGAGGAGAAAGGCCACCCGAGAACCCGCCCTGGTGATATTGAGCTCAGACTTCTGGTCTCCAGAACTGTGAGACAATGCCGACGAAAAGAAAATTCTAGAGTAAAACCCCAGAGAAGAGTTATTAGGGTCCTATCTGAGGCCAACTTTAGGTCAGTTGCCTGGGAAACACAGCCCTTCTGCAGAGGAAAGGTGCCCTGGAGAGGAGGGCTTTCTCACCCAGTACGCACGCTTGCCCACCCACAAAGGACGTCGGCCATGTTGTCAATACCTGCCTTCTCTGCTTAGTGCCCGCAGACACCGGCGGTACGGGGCATCTCTGACCAACCACTACCTATGCACAAGGAAACTTTGTAGAACTATTCAGACGTAAAGCAGATGTACAGTGCTTTCCCTACAGACCAGAAATCAGGTCTTTGTTTAAAATAACCTCAGCATTAAGGCCAAGCACTACTCAGAAGCCTGTATCCTTAGCATTTCTTCTTGCAACAGTCATTTTCTATTGTTTAAGCCCCGGGGTCTGTAGTGCTTTGTTCTGGCAGCCCTGGTGGACCAACACAGAAGCCTTGTTCGTGTCCGTTGCAATGCTGGGAAACGGCTCCCTCTGCTGGGTTTTATGCTAAAGACCAAATGCCCTGAAAACAATGAATTTTATGTTTGGATGGTACAAAATGGAGAACAAAGCACTCAGATGCTT